TAATTACTCAGGTCCATACATGAGAACCAGTCACTTTTAATACTAGTAAAGTGGGCTCAGCAAACTACTCAAGTCACATCAAGACACTGTCATTGTTCTCTCCTGAAGTTACATGTTATTACATTTTGTAGAGGAAATTATATCAACCTCAGCACTGACTTTTTTAATTTAGATCACTTTTTGTTGGGGTGAGGGAGTGGAGCCTGCCCTGTGTGCTACAGAATGTTAAAGCAGCATTTTTTGGCCTCTCAGAGGCATGCCAAGTGCCAAGTTGTAACAGCCAAAAATGTCTCCGGACAATGTTCAAAGTTTCCTGGGGGCAAAACTGCCCCAGTTAGAAACCACTGATCCAGCTCGCTTTGCAAAAAGGGGAATTCTTAAAGACTTCAGGAGGTAGCCATTCAGGAGGGCAAAGGTTTACTGGAGCTATTATTTAGTATTAGCCACTCTTCTGGGCTCCACCAATAATAATCCTTTATTATCCATAATTCAAAGTTGATCACAGAAAAATAAAATTTTGGCCCAATGTACTGTCAGAAAATGCTTTAAGTCACAGGAAGGAGTGCTGGCCATCTTCTCATTACTCTACACAGGAATATAAAATGCTGAAATTCAATATCAAGAATTCTGCTATGGCCCTGGCCGGTTTGGCTCAGCGGTTAGAGCGTCGGCCTGTGGTCCTGAGAGACCCGGGTTCAGTTCCCGCTAAGGGCACGTACCTCGGTTGCAGTTTGTCCCCGGCCCTGGTTGGGTTGTGCGGGTGGCAGCCACTGGATGTCTTCCTTTCACGTCGATGTTTCTCTCTCTCTCTGTTCCTCTCTCTCCCTCCCACTCTACCTGAACAAAAAATGGAAAAATGTCCTCGGGTGAGGATAAAAAAAAAAAAGAATTCTGCTATGTCCTCTTTATTTTAAATCAAGTTTATCTTTTTAAAAAGATCATAGACCTGCCCTGGCCAGCTTGGCCTAGCGGTTAGAGCCTCAGCCTACAGTCCAGAGAGACCCGGGTTCGGTTTCCGCTAAGGGCACGTACCTCGGTTGCAGTTTGTCCTCAGCCCTGGTTGGGTTGGGCGGGAGGCAGCAGCTCGATGAGTCCCTTTCACATCGATGTTTCTCTCTCTCTCTCCCTCCCACTCTATCTTAACAAAAAATGAAAAAATGTACTCAGGTGAGGATAAAATAAATAAAATAAAAAGAACATAGACCTTAAGAAGACTTAAAAACATATTATTGTCCAGCCTGTGTGGCTCAGTGGTTGAGCATTGACCCATGCACCAAGAGGTCACTGATTCGATTCTCAGTCAGGACACATGCCCAGGTTGTAGGCCTGATCCCCAGTGGGGGGTATGCCTGAGGCGGCCAGTCCATGTTCTGTCTCATCGATGTTTCTCTCTGTCTCTCCCTCTCATTTACTCTCTCTAAAATCAGTAAAGAAAAAGACAAAAAATACATATTATTACCCAAAATGAAAAGTAGGTCTTAGTTGGGGAGGTGAAAAAATTCATACAGTGAACAATTCTCTGGAAAGAAATGACTCCACTCTTTGCATGACTAAAGCATATTTAATGTATATAAAGTGCCATGTTAATGTCCAAAAGACTGGAGAACTCTTAATTATTCACAACAAATTCATTTAATAGCACCAGAAGGCAGAAGCCATTTTTTATCCACTATGCACCCCTGCACCTAGCACAGAGCCTCCAACAAAGGCGGTAACTCAGTAAGTATTTGTTGAATAAATGAATAGTCATATATTCTGCTTAAGGAGTCCATTGTAAAAAAAAAAAAAAAGCAAAACAAACAAACAAACAAACAAACAAAAATGTTATTTGCTGTCATCTAACAGGGGCTGAAAGGAAAGCTCTTTTAAGAGAAAATAATTACAGTCGACTTCCCTATTATGCCAAATCTCAACAACTGAAAAATTCAATTACCAAAAAAAATTTTGTAAGCAAAAGTTAGGGAAAGCAACCAAAGAGATAAGTTCAAGCAAGTGCCAACATTTGTTCAACTCCCCCAAGGTTATAAAAGCCAATATTACTGGCACCAGAGGGGAAAAAGGGAGGGGTGTGGGGAAAGAAGGGAATCTGGTAGTGGAGGGCAGAAAAACTGGATCAGTCTCAAAAGGTTAGCTTCCATTGCTTCACCAAACTGTTGATTTTCTTTTTTTTAATGTCAAAACTTTAGGGGTATGGGGCAATTTCTTACACAAAATCTTGATTTACAAATTACTTTTAAAATGGATGTTAACAAAATCTTTAAGGCTATTCAGAAATATACATATTAATTTTTGAAATGTCATCTTTTTTCCCTCCAGTCCCACAGGGCAAACAACAGGTTCTCAAAATGCTGGGTAAGACACTCCATTTATACTTTTTGTCTACAGAAACTTGAGGCCTACCACCCATCAACATGCTTCTCTTGTTAAAAGATTTTAAATCTCTCAGCATTCTATTCATGAAAGAGAAAACAATCAGACTTAAATTCTGCAGGCAAAAAGTCCATGTATAACTTTTGACTCCCCAAAGGCTGTTCCTGGGTATCTTCAGGGGTGTGGTACCAGGATGCCGCCCCCCAGATACTCAAATCTGTGCATGTTCAAGTCACTTGTACAAAATGGTGTAGACCAATGCATACAGTCAGAACTCTATAACTGCAGACGCCCAAGGGCAGATGGAAAGCAGTATAGGTATTTACTGAAAAAAATCACCTTATAAGTGTACCCTTGAAGTTCAAACCTGTGCTGTTCAAGGTTAACTGTACTATTTTAGATTGTTGCCTATGCATAGAATTCCTATCACATTAACATTAAAAATGGTGTATATAATAGTGTTTATATAAATGTATTTGCATTAATTTTTGAGACCCAAATCTCTATTTCTACTTAAACATTTTCAGGTTAGTATTTCCAGTAAATAAGTAATTATCTTATTTCAGTTATGCATTAGTTTGACACTTATACATTAGTATCATACAAGAGAAAATTTTACCAATTTAAATCTTACACATATTTTTAAATGTTTCACTAAAAAATCTAGACTTGGTTAAAAAAACAAACAAACATATTGAGTTTTTTACTCACTATGTCAATGGTAGCTTAGAATTTAAAAAATACGATATGGCTACAGAACCTATATGGTAGTATTAGACTATGTTAATATTGGGAGGTGGTTTGTACAAATCATGGTATATCTGACCAATTTCCTGTTGCATAGAGATTGTATTTGCTCTTAAAATGTTACAAAAAACTGAATGTAAAGACTAGATTTGAACCTTATGTAACCAAAATGGGAAAGCAGTATATAGCCTCACCACATTAAAGGTCTTTAGCAAATAAGAGCAAGAGTTTCCAAAGGCAAAGTTACCATCCCAGAAGCCCTTGCTTCTTCAGTGTAAAGAATGTTCCCAGAGAATACGAAGTGGGGAAGGAAAGGCTTTACACAATTCCAAGGGGGCCATAATTTAAATTTATGTTATTCTGCAAATGTTCACATTTCCAAGGAACAACATAAAACTTACATTAAAACTGTCTTAACCAAAATAATGGAAAAAAATTATTTCTGCTGCTCTATAAGCTTGCCATAGATTTGATAACCCAGGGAAGAATTACAATTACAAAATCATGGCTCCAATTAGGAAAACTGGATCTATTCCAAATTTAAATCAAAAGGGGCTCAGATAATCCAGATGAAATGATTTAAATGAACACAGAGGACTTCCTGCAAAGACACTGGACATTTATTCTGTTTTTACCTCTTCTTAAAGCCAAGCAAAAATTCTACGACATATCTCTTGCCCCTCAGGAATTTCAAAATCCAAACCTGGAGTCCCCTAATAAACCCTATTCTATTATTTTCCCAAGGGGTCTCCCTGATACAAGGTTTTTATTGTAAAGGGCAAAATCTAACTCGAGAAACTTGCACAGTCCCAAATGCAGAAAATAATATAGCACTGAACCCAAACCACACACAGGCTTCGTTTGCTGATTTCCACAAGTCCACCTAGTCCTAGTTTATAAGAGGCCACAAGGAATGGAAAGGAAAGAGAAACTTCGAAAGCAGAAGACACTCTCCCAGAGCCTAGAACAGAGGACACCTTATAGGGATTTCAAAACACGGAAAGGTCACACCCTGCAATTCTGAAAATCCACCTTCTAAGGCTCAACCCACATGACAGAACCTTCCTCTTGCTTGTCTAGGTTCAACACTGGAGTTGAAATCCACCATTCTCCACACCCCCTTTCGCCAACACAATCATCCCCCATCCCTTAGATAGAAGCAAAGTGGGCTCTCGCTCTCCCTCCCCATTCTCCCAGCACACCCCTCTCTCCTCCAACCCTCCAGCACCCTGTAGGAGAAAACCAAGGACAGCCCCTTACCTCCACTCCCTGGAATCCCCACCCCCACCATCCTCCTTGGGAGAACCAAAGCAGGTCCCCCTTCACTACCTCCCTAATCCCCACCATCCTGGATTAGAAAACTAAGGTGAGACCCCCCCACACTTCACTTCACCCGCTGCCCAGGTACGCTACTAACTACCCTTGCTGAAAAAAAACAAGAAGTGCCCCTAACTCGCCCCACCCCCACTGCCCAAAATCCCGGGTGAGAAAACCAAGAGCCCCGTTTGTTCCCATCTCCCTCCCCATCATTCCGCAGAAGAGAATGCGGAGATCTCCCCTTTCCTTCAGGCTCCCCCTACCTTCATCCACTCCCTCCCCAGTTGTTCCCCATCCCCAATGCCCACCACCTCCCACTACCTAGGCGAAAGCCCTAGGGAGGCCGAAGCCTGCACCAGAAGAGAGCTCCTCCCCCCGCCCTGCTGTGAAGGTCCCGCAGCCTGCAGCTCATTGCGCCCCCAGCCCCATCCCCCCAGACTGGCGGCCGGGCCAGAAGCTGCAGGTAGCCGGCCCTAGAAGGCTCGGCAGACCTGAGGGATGGCAGCCGCAGAGGCGGGGCCAGAGGGCAGCGGATCTGCAGGACGAAAACCGGGAGGCACACATACACGCACTCGCGGGGAGTAAGCGGGCTTACTGCCTGGGGATGCTAGGCAGCGTAGCTGTCCGGGCGGCGGCCCCTACCAGCACAGAGACCGAGGTGGCTGCGCTGCGGCAGTAGCAGTAGCAGCAGTGGTGGCTGTCGACTGAGCCCCCTCAGCCAGCTGGAGATGTAGGGCGCAAGAGGGAAGCGAGGGGAGGGGCGCGCTTGTGGGGGCGGGAAGGGGAGGGAGCGCGCGCAGGGGCGGACTCCGCTGGCCTGGGGCGGGGCCTGTAGGGGCAGCTGTGCTGGGCGAGCACTTGGGGGCTGGTAGGGCAGAGGGTTGGAGGCGAGCCCCATGCATACTGCGCGCCCACGGGGCCGTTTCGGGAGCGGTGACGCTGCCTGCAAGGCGCGAGTGCACCGAGAAGGTGACTGTGGGGTGGCGGTGGCGAGCGCTTCCCCGTAGGGCCTATACTGGCCTGGTGAGGACTGCTGGCTCCCAGGGCCCTCCTCCTTTGAGCTGCAGCTTTGGAGACCAGTGACCAGTCATGAGTCATTGCCTGCTGCCTCACCCAGGGCAGGGGACTTGAGAATAACAAAGAAAGGCTAGCAAAGGTGGCCCCACTAACCTGCAGCCCTTCAAAGCGGTCCATACAGAACATACTCTGTTTTGCCCCCCACTGCGGAACCTCGTGGTTACCCTTAATAACAAGCAGGAGTGGGAGTGAAAGGAGGCCCATCTAAGTCCAGAGCCACCATCCAGAGGGCTTTACATCTCTCCGAAAAACACTGATGGCAGCCACAGGTAGCTACTCATTCATTCACTCAACATTCAGTTTACTGAGCCCTCACCATGTGCCAATAAATGTGTCAGGCGCTGGGGAGACAGGTAGAGTCCTGCAGAACACTCTCCACCCTGCCCTGGGAGCTTGTAATCTAGTCTAGGAGACAGATGATGAAGAAATGAGAAAATAATCAAATCTGGAGTGAAACCTGTGCAGGAAAAGAAGAGAGTGTAAATTATGTGATTAGGAAGGAGGAGATGGCATTTAAGCTCTGCCCTGAAAGTTATGAAAGGAGAAACCATAAGAACAGGGAGTGAAAAGCCCTCCAAAAATAGGCAGCAGGTGTACAAAAGCCAGAGAGAGGGGAGGAATTTTGATGCCTTGGAACTAAGGTTGTGATGGTTTTGATGGGCACCAGAAGAGCTGGGGAGAGTAGCACAATAAAAGGTTGGACAAGTTGGTGGAGACCAGAACATGAACTGCATCCTAGTCAATGGGGAGACCGTTTTATTAAAAAAAAAAAAAGATGTGAGGACTTCAGGGTTTTTCTTTCGCCTTTTAGCAAAATAAATATGAGGGGCTTCAGTCAAGATGGTGACATAGGTAAACTCGGTACTTGCCTCCTCCCACAACCACATCAAAATTACAATTAAACTACAAAACAATCATCATTCAGAACTTCCTGTAATTGCACTGAATGTTAGTCCTACAACTATGAAATTAAAGGAAAAGCCACATCAAAACTAGTAGGAGGAGCAGAGATGTGGAAGGGCTGGTCTCACACCCAGGTACGGTGGATAAAAATCAGGAGGAAGATCAAGAGGTCATCTTGAGAAGATGGCAGCAGGCAGGGCCAGAGGGAGGGTGAGTGTGTGAGAGAGTGAGCAAATGTGTGAGAGCGTGTGAGTGGACTCGAAGGTGGACAACCAAACCCTAGCAGTGCAGAGACGCAGAGCAGAAGGTTCCTGTGCTGTGGATGGAGCAGCTGGCTACCACAATAAGCGGCCCTTCAGGGCATTTCTTCCTGCTCCTCCAGGAGGTCCCACCATTTTGGAACATCCCAGGTCTTCCCTGGGAGGAGGCAGTGGGAGTGGCTAGGGCCCAGCAACCTGAGCCCACCAGCATACCTGGCACCATCAAACCAGTGGACACCTTGTCAACAAAGGGCAGTGCACAGTAGCAGAGCTCCAAAGGTGCTGGCCGCAGAAGCCAAAGACAGCCTAGAGACCAGCATCATCCCCCACAGTAGCAGCCCAACCTGAGTCAAGATATACCCCTAGCAACAAAGGTTAGGGAGCAGAAATCCATCCCCAGGCAAAAAAAAAATTAAATAATTTTAAAAAAGCACAGACCAGCAGATGAAACCCATCCCCACAAACTACAGCAAAAGCTGAGCAGGAGTTGAGCTCCACGGGGCAGCAGCACACCCCAGCCACCAAGCAGCGGGACCTGGGGCTCCACAGAGGCCTGTGCAGTCCAGTAGCTCACAAATGCAGTGGGAAGCCCTAGCCCCAGAGAGACTGGTGTGAGCTAGCTTCCCACCCGTGGGAACTGCAGGGGGCAGGGGCACCAGAGAGGCCTGTGCCACCCAACAGGGACTATGTAATCTAGTTACCCATGGGACCTGTCGGGTGCTGAAGCACCAGAGAGGCCTGCTCAACCTAGCAGGGACTGTGCCATCCAGTTTCCCACTGGGCCTGTGAAGTGCTGAAGCACCAGAGAGGCCTGTGCCACCCAGGAGGGACTGCACAATCTACTTACCCACAGGGCCTGTGGGGTACTGAAGGACCAGAGAGGAATGTGAGACCCAGCAGCACATAAAATAGGCATAGAGCCAGGTCCCCAGAGGGACTGTGTGATCCAGTTACCTGCATGACCTGCAGTGTTCGAGGACACCAGAAAAGCCTGTGTGACCCAGCTGCACACAAGATTGGCTTAGTGGATATGAAGAAGGAGGCGGACTGAATAGAAGCCATGCAGACAATCCCCCAAGACAAAACAGGAATTACAACTAAAATAAAGACAAATCCTAGGAAAAAAGCAACAGAAGAACAGCAGGACAACACCATATAACCAGGGAAAATGGGCGAACACCAGGGCTACATTCCAAGGCACTAAGTAACTGAGACTACTAGACACCAGGAAAAAGCTAGAGGATAACTGAACGTTTCCTGGGCTTATAAATCTACCCAGGAACGTAAGACTTGAAAGCGGTGTTTAATGTGGGCCCACCCAGGCTCATGCGAACCCAGTAGAGAAAACCAGAAACAGCAAAACAGCATAACCCACAGGGAAAATTTGGCAGGCTTCAAAGCCCACTGTGATAGCCAAAATGGTGAAACACAGGAAAAAAAGCCAAATGAAAGAACAAGAGATCTCTACCAAAGATGAGATAAATGTCAAACCATTAAGCAAGTTAACAGAACTAAATTCAGAGTCGTGATCTTGAGGAAGCTCAACAGCATGTGTAAGGACATGAGCACCATGAGTAAAGATATAGAAATTTTGAAAATCAACCAGTTGGAAATTAAAAACCACCAAGGAGAAATGAAGAACACATAAAGAAGGACTACAGAGCAGAGTAGAGGAAGCTGAGGACCGGATCAGTGAATTAGAAGACAGGGTAGAAAAAATCAACCAATAAGAAAACCAAAAGGAAAAAAAAAATTATTAAAAAACAGGAAGATAGCTTAAGAGGACTGTGGGAAAACTGGAAAGGTAATAATATTCGCATCATAGGAGTCCTCGAACAGGACGAAAATGGGCAAGGCTTGGAGAATATATTTGAAGAAATAATGACAGAAAACATTCCTAACTTGGTGAAGGAAGAAGGCATTCAAGTTCAATAAGCACAGAGAGCCCCAAGTAAGAAGAACCCAAACAGGCTCACACCAAGACACAGAGTAATTAAAATGCCAAAAATTAAAGACAAAGAGAGAATCCTAAAGGCAGCAAGAGATAAGCAACTGGTGACCTACAAGGAAACTCCATAAGGCTCACAGCTGACTTTTCAACAGAAACACTTCAGGACAGAAGGGAGCGGCATGAAGTAATCAAGGTTATGAAAAACAAGGATCTCAATCCAAGAATAATCTAACCAGCAAGGCTATTATTTAAAATGGAATGGCAAATAAAGAGCTTTCCAGAGGGGGGGGGGGAAGGCTAAGGGAATATATTAACACCAAACCAGCACTGCAAGATATGCTAAAAGGACTTCTGTAATTAGTCGATGAAATAGGAATAAAAAGAGAACCACACTAAACAAAAATGGCGAAAAAATAAGTATATATCAATTATCACCTTAAATGTCAATGGTTTGAATGCTCCAACAAAAAGACACAGAGTAGCTGACTGGATAAGAAAGCATGACTCACATATATGTTGTTTACAAGAGACCCATCTCATAATAAAACACTCACATAGGTTGAAAGTGAAGGGATAGAAAAAAATCTTTCAAGCAAACAGAAAGAAAAAAATAACTGGAGTAGCAATAATCATATCTGATAAAGTACATTTCAAAATGAGAACCATAACAGACAAAGAAGGCCACTACATAATATTAAAAGGATCTATCCAACAGAAAGATATAACCTTGATAAACATATAGGCACCCAATATAGGAGCACCAAAATATATTAAAAATCTTCTGGAGGACATCAAAGGAGCAATCGGCAGCAATACTATCATAGCAGGGGACTTCAACACCCCGTTGACACCATTGAATGGATCTTCTAGACAAAAAATTAGCAAGGAAACAGAGACTTTAAATAAAACAATAGACCAAATGGATTTAACAGATATCTACAGTGATTTACACCCTGAAACTACAGAATTCACATTCTTCTCAAGTGCACATGGGACATTCTCAAAATTACACCACATGATAGGAAAAACACTAAACTTCTACAAGTTCAAGATGATTGAAATCATATCAAGAATCTTCTCAGATCACAATGGCATGAAACTATAAATCAATTGCAACAAAAACATGCAAAGACATCTCAACCCATGGAGGTTAAATAGCATGTTATTAAACAATGAATGGATTATCATGGAGATCAAGAAAGAAATTTAAAACGTCCTGGAAACCAATGAAAATGAACACACAACAACACAAAATCTATGGAATGCAGCGAAAGAAGTTCAGAGAGGGAAGTTCATAGCACTATAGGCCTACCTCAAGAAACAAGAAAAATTTCTAATTGACTGTTTAACCTCACAACTTAAAGAATTAGAAAGCAAACAAAAAGAAAACCCCAGAGCAAGTAGAAGGATGGAAATAGTAAAGATCAGAGCAGAAATAAATGACATAAAGACCAAAAAAACAATTCAAATGATCAATGAAACAAAGAGCTGGTTTTTCAAAAAGATAAACAAGATTGACGGACCCTT